CCCCCCAACCCCCCCAAAAAAAACAACAACAACAAACAACCCTCTTCCAGGTCTCAAACCCCGCTCTTCCCCACGTTGTGTAAGTGCATATGTGTATGTGTATGTGTATCTGTGTGTGTGTGTGTGTGTATGTTTGTTTGTACTTGTGTGTGCGTCTGTGTGTGTGTCTGTGTGTTTGTGTGTCTGTGTGTTTGCGTGTGTGCTTGTATATCTGTTATTCAATCTGTCTGCTCTTTTTTCATGCTAGGAACACTCATACTTACACATTCAAACACACGCACGCATGCTGTGTAAACAAATTTCAGATAATAATATTTCCCCATATAACACACAAGCCCATAGTGTTAGGAGTATTTCAAATTTTGCGTATTACTTTCTTTATTCCATCGCGCAGGTAAGTAAAACTATCATCGGCTTGACCGAAATGACAAAAGGATCAAACGAGATTCTCAAACCAAACAAAAGGGTGACATATCACATAAATCATGGCTCTCTTCTGGCCTTTCTTCTTTATCAGCGTGGTCGATAGAAGGCTTGCATAGCAATGACGCACATTACAACCATAGGGCTGGGTAGAGTTTCATTCTAGCATATAATATTATAATATTGGGCAAAGTCATATTAATATGTCATAAACTGGAAAAATCATAGAATAAACTTTAGGATACTTCCCTATTGTTGAAAATGCGTCACTATCAGGAATACACATTCATTTTAGTGGATAGTGTTATGTCATCCCCCCCCCCCCATTTTTTCGGTCAGTTGAACAGTTTACAAAAGTTATAGATATTAACTACATTCTACGGTAGGGCCTATATGTTCACCATGCGATTTCCCATCAGAGTAGAATGTAACGGCGATCTTAAATTCAAAACACCAAATTGTTCCCAGAGCACAAGGTCACCCTCGGAATTTTGGACAATGAACCACGAGTCGGAAACGCCTTCATCATGGCGTCGGCAGGCTCAGATTTCATCTTGGAATGGTACGAGAACTACACCGATTATAAAAACACCAATCGATTCTGGAATTCTCTAAAGGTAGGCTATTGATATCGGGTGTGCATGTTGTCTATAAATACACTGCATGGGCCCCAAAGCGTCTGACGTTTCACCCCGTAGGTTTGGTGTTTAAAAAATATCGGAGTCTTTAGTCTCGTGATTGTCAACCTTTTTACAGCCAGTGATCACTTTTGCCACCTTTATAACATTTTCGTACTGCGCATCTATATCATGTATATGTGCATTTCCGAATGGGACATTTAAATCATCAAATAATACCTGTCACTACCCGGACAATCCCCAGGCCCTCCAAAATTATCTAGTGGCCGACTAGAAGATATTGTTCTCTTTGGCAATCACTGCGTTGGTCAGTCTTTCCAAGTCAACCTCTGAACTGTCCTAAACAGGAGCAGTGACAGATTAGCATACCCCCTTCGACGTTGAAATGTCTTTACCGTTAACTTCCTTCCCTCACCATCGCTTTTCAGGTTTTTAAAACAAATTGCCTACACCATGCTGTCATTGATTTGGTCAACTGGCCATGACTTGAACTAAAAAAGCCAAATAAAAATTACCTTTAATTAGTAAAGAATGTATTTGATACAACTTCTCCCATCACCGGTAAAGTAACATTTGAATACATACTCTCGCACTGGTAAGGAACAAAGGGTACTTAACACGAACACGCACGTACAAATACGTCCACACACATATATACAAACACCTGCACACTTGTGCACCTACAAACACGCACAAACACACACACACACACACACACACACACACACACACACACACACACACACACACACACACACACACAAAACAAAACAAACGGGTGTACATGCACGAGCACACACAAACAACACACTAGTTTTAGAAGCGACCACTCCTGGATAATGGTACCGCCCACAAGACCTGTAGATCTATGTCAAGAGTGAAATAATATCATACAACAATGATTTTGTAGAATTGCGATGTGTAAACTATAAAAGAAGAGGCAGGCTACGCAAAAGATGGATTGAGTGAATCAAGGGACCCTTGGAACTAAAAACATCCCCATTGAAAGAGCGCAGAGTTGTCCTACCAAAGAAAACTGCATCTTCCCGTGACGCTTAACGGCAACAGAGGATAAAAAAGTAAAAGTATTTAGTTACGTTGGAAACCCCAGCTATAAAATTACAATCTTCCTCGAAATTTAAAGTACGATGAAGGTACGCCTAGATCTTTCTCTTACTTAGGAGATGTCAGTGGACAATACCCTTTGTTTCTGAAATTGGCATTCTTTTATGTTAGGGATGGGAAAGGACCAGTGGTAATTTATTGTAGATATTACCCCATTCAACTGTGTACGTCCTGTGTTTAGTTGAAGCCAAGTTGTGACAGCTTTGTTTGTCACCTTCGAGATTGCTGGTTTTAAAAAGATATAGCATATTATTAAAATTTTGTCTCTCTCGACAACCTTTGCTGACTCTTTGCTTTCTTCTCGCTCTTCTCCTCTCTATACCCCCCCCCCCCTACACACACACCTGACGAGCTTACGTCTGTGTGTCTGTGTGTGTGTATATATATATATATATATATATATATATATATATATATATATATATATGTGTGTGTGTGTGTGTGTGTGTGTGTGTGTGTGTGTGTGTGTGTGTTTAATATAAATGTGTTTTTTTCCCACACTTTAGGGCACGGATATAATCGTTTAAACGTGTATCACCTGATTACCTTCACTTTTGAAAATGATAACTTACGAGCCTTGGAAAATTGGTTGGCGGGAAATCAGGGACTAATTTAAAGATTATTGTTACTTTTTTCAGTTAAAAATGTCAAAAACACCTGCAAACAACACTTGCGGACACTTTAGTATTAATGTGTATTCCTGATGGAACAGAAATGACGTTTAAGCTTTGCTCTTTTGGAACCTTTCACACACTACTCGACACTAGACCAATATGCAGGTTATAAAAGCAGCACAAGGTCTCTCGACAGCAGAAAATAATAATATTATTATCATCCTCGGAAGGACATCAATAACCAAACCCTCATTTGATATCAAACTTCCGGGTTCCACTTATTGGTCAATACTTGGTCATACCTTAACGATAGTAAGCAAGTTTCAACGAAGCTATGCCTATGTCCCTATGGTCATGAACCAGGAACTTGTACTGGGGTTGCATTTCATAAATAGACTGATCATTTCCTGCCCGACACTTGAATAAACCTGACCGCGGCCTAACATCCTGTTGTGATCTATTTGCAGAGAGCTACCATATTGTCTCTTGTTATAATGTTGAGCTATCTCCCCCCCCCCCCCCCCGCAATAAATAAATAAACAATTTTTAAAAATGAAAAAAGAAAGAAAAAATTTCCATTGTGTCTAGATTCCGGGGAAAATCTGGCTGAAGAATGCTTCTCGTGTTCATATGGAATCTGAGAGGCTGTATCACCCAAGCTGGTACCAGGCCATGAAATTGTTCAGCCCACACACCGGGTAAGTCGTAATTATTTTAATTGTAATTGCATATTATACATTTTAACCCTTCTTTCAACACTCTAAAGCTATTTGAAAGGTCACTGTCCAAATCCCCCACCCCTCACATCGATAGGTTGGAGCGAAGTGGAGTATACGAAAAAATGATTCCATTTTGTTTTGAGATGGCACCTTAGATGTTGCATTTCATCTACGTTCAAAAGTTATCGATACTTATAGTAAATGTAGCATTCGAATTTTAAAAAAGCATCAACGCCACCAAAATGATAAGTGACCAGAAATATTGTTCAAACTAACGTCATAAATGCAAGGACAGAGTTATGAATCTCAGCTGCTTTCGCATTACCGAGAGACCCTGTCCCAGTTATGTCACGTGTTATTGTGTGCCTGTCCGAGGCCTCTGACGTAGACAACAGGGTTGTAAGGGTCCGGGGAACACAGGTGAAAACTGGCAAGGAGAGGTCATCAATTAGGTCAAGCGACAAATTATACAAGATGCTGTTTAACTTCGTTCATAGTACTTGTGGTGACGTCATTACTGGACGAAAGGTTGAAAAGTCACAGCGGGTCGAGTTGTACATAGTATTGTCAGTGTCGCAAGCTATCCACATTAGGGTACTTTTTACACTACAGGCAAAAAGCTAGTTTTTCTTGTCTTGTCCATATCAGGAATCATGATAAAAATTGTAAGCATTGACCATAGCATAAACTGCATTTAGATGTTTTTGAAAGGTGCATCTTTGATAGACCGTTGGGATGTTGTAAAATTCGAAATTTCTCAAAATGTGGCTTTCTCTTCTAAAAAATTTGACCTTAGAGGATGGCATGCGACAGAGACGAAATGAAATTTAGATAATAAAAGGCATGTCTCAAAATAAACAGGAAAAGTGCCATGTTTAAATATCTGTCTAATGTTTTTCATTTTTTTGTAAAACATTTTTAGTAGTTCAGGAAATTTTCAACTTGGGTATGCATTAAAATGAACAAAAATAATGGTTGCAGCAATCTTTCTACATCACAACAAAATGGCAACCGTTATACAGAATTAGTCAAAAGAATCGCTTTCTTCACGCAAAAGCCAATGATCCCACTGACATTAATACAGATTTGAAAGTATTCAATGTGAGAATGTTCTAAGAAAGTCAAAAGTCTATCACATGTGCAATTTATTAAAAGAAGGGCATTCAAATTTCCCCGATGAGCAAATTAGAGGCTGTCATCGGTCTGCCAACTTAGAAAACATTGCTGAACGCTTCAAAAAACTAATTCGTAATGACAGGAGGCTCAAAATTCGTGACAGGCTGCTAGGTAGATACATGTATTTATATAGGCTTACTGTGTGTGTCTATATGTATGCATGTATGTAGTATGTAAGCGTGCGTGCGTGCGTGCGTTCATGCGTGTGTGCGTGCGTGCGTGCATGTATGTGTGCGCATGTACCTGTGTACGTGTGTGTGCGTGTGTGCGTGCGTGTGTGCGTGCGTGTATGTGTGTGAGCGTATGTGAGTTTACATGCGTGTCTCCAAAATGAGACTGTCTGTCACTGGAAACCACAAAATACAATTTTTGTTGGAGGGTTCAGGTTTTCCTTTCGTCTCAACAGGGTCACATTTCCACTTCCAGGCATTTGTCCAAGTCCGTTGTTTTTCAGAAACAAAAATTGCGAACGTAGGAGGCACTGCCTACATGTTACCTAGCAACAAGGTGTAGTAGAAAAGATGTCGTTCAGGAATGCGACGGAAGAGATAGTTAATAGTGATAGTCAACATACGCTAGGGGCTTGCAATGAATAATTTATATGCTCAAAAGTCTCAGCGGCACTGTGGTATTACCCTTTCGTGGCCATGATTCGGTGTAATGATATCGGTATGCTGGCTTGAACATAATAATTGGCTCTACTTTGTTACTGGAGTCGGGTTCGCGTGTAGTTTTAACAGTTTGACGAGTTATTTCTATGTGTACATGTACTTGAAATTCTTTTCTTATTGGTACATGTCACATTATTTCCGCTTTAGAAATTAACGTGTTTCAGCTGCAAAAACTGGTTTAAGAATGCCAGTGTTATACTATTTTCAAGCTATAACCTCCACTGTTTTCAATAGTTTCTTAATATTACACAAAGTGGATACCATAGAAGGAATATCATTAAAAGGGCAGGGCGGGAAGGGAATGGGATGTGAGGTTACATATGAGGATTGTTACTTTTTATCTCACGATGCCTCCCGTCATGTGGACCCGTTGCACAGATCAAAACTTTAGTTTTGCGGAAACATGGTGTTTGCCGCAGGAATGGATTAAGTCTTACACCATGAGGACTTTATAATTGTAATCACAAGAAATCTGAGGTTTTGATTATCTTGTGAAGTATAATTAAACATTCGAATGCCGAATTTCAATAGACAGTCCACAGCAAGCGAGATGAAATCACCAAAAGATAGAAGTAGGTCTACATGTATTTTCACAAATGGGAAACTAAAATATACCCAGAAAATGACCCAATGCAGTGTAGACCGTTCGAAAATCAGGGGGAAAAGTTTGTTTTCCGATTATTTATCCAATATAATGCCAAAAATCCCCCCCCCCTTCCCCATCCTTCCCACCCGCCTCTTATCCCCCCCCTCCTCCTCCTCCTCCTCCTCCTCCTCCTCCTCCTCCTCCTCATCATCATCATCATCATTATCATCATCATCATCAGTTGGTTAACAATATCAACAGCTTCCCATGGAAAGAGAACTACGCCATGCATGTGTGGACGAACCAGAACAGATATCCCGTACCGAAATCCCCTCGTGACATCCAGACAGCAAACACACTGGTGGCGAAAGTGTTCCGCTATGTCCTCTATGGAGATCCCAAACCACGGAGTAATGCTTCTCGTACGGACGATAAACGCCCCTTCTCTTTTGAGGGACAGAGGCTAAGAGGGGGTGAGGATGATGATGATGATGATGATGGTGATAGTGATGATGAAGACGATGATGGTGTTGATATCGACGATGATGTTGATGACGACAACGACGATGAGGATGATAATGACGATTTTGCTGGTGATGATGATGATACTGATGATGATGACGACGAAGAAAACGACGACGATGATGATGATGATGATGATGACAAACACGACGACGGCGATCTCTGATTATTAAAAAATTACTTATCTGAGCTCGGCATCAATGTAAGTGTAGATTCTTGCAAAGTGTGAAATAGCTTATGTTTAGGAAAGCTTTATTAATATTAACAGCATGCATTGTAAGGGATGTACATATACGTAACTTTTAAGACAGTGTCAATAAATTGGGCATCAATACCATTATTATTGACAGCAGTGGGAAGGACAGTAGATCTTGTTCTTCTTGACAGTTTTGTTATGTTACTCTCTCATTGTCATAATTATTGTAATAAAACGTTGTTTTGGCTGAGAACGACGACAGGTTGCTTTGTGAACTATTTACTTTTTTTTCTTTTTGTTTGGTCTTTTCTTTTGCAGTTGACCTGTTTTTTTCCCCTCAGAACCAAGCCTTATGCATATTCAAGACAAATGGAATGTGAAGGAGGTGAATCACATTCATGTGTGTTTGAGAGGGTGTTTATGAGGTACACACGCATGTAAACACACACGTAAATACGCTCATAAACACCCACATAAACACGCGCACACATACATACACAACAAGCAAACACTCACACACATATTTATGAGAATACAAAGGACGAAAGAGAAAAGGGGGGAGAGAGAGAGAGAGAGAGAGAGAGAGAGAGAGAGAGAGAGAGAGAGAGAGAGAGAGAGAGAGAGAGAGAGAGAGAGAGAGAGAAAGGGGGGGGGGTCAAACAGACAAATAATTATAACCAGATTCCAACCCCCTACCCCTGCCCTTGCCATAAAACCTCTCCACTAAAACAAGTTTTGTATTAGAACAGAATGACATCAGAATATACATTTTCATAGACTGCCTACTGTGGCGTCGTGGCCTACCGGACTCGTAATCGTGAGGTTGCATGTTCGGGGATTCGAGCTGAGGGCTCGACGTTGTGTCCTTATGAAAGACACTTTACACAAATTTTCCTCACTTTACCCAAGTGGGATGGGTACCCGGCCATAGACAGCGAAAGATATTGTCAGTATGTTAGTGTCTAGCGCCTATAAATGGCTTCTTGCACTGTATGCTTGCCAAGAAGTTGAAATTGTTTCAGAATGCTGTCAGGTTTGCTGGGGTAATACATGTAGTATAGATGTGAAACCCATAGAGCTTGCTGTTGAGCAGGGATTTGCGCTATACAAATGCTATCTATTATTTTTATTATTATTACCTTATGTCTGTAAAGCTTGAACACAAGAAAAAAATAAAACAAAACAACAACAACCCAAATTAGACTGGGTTTTTTTCTTTCACGTATTGGGTGTCAATATTTTGTTGATAAGCAGCTCAAACAGGTCGCCGGATTATCGTGCTTTTGACAAGAAAAATGGTCTATCCTCACCTTTGATCAGAACAGACTCTTCACTTCAAAGAAATAAAGCTCTGTTAGATCAGTGAGTCAGATATGTGTAATGGCCAGCTTTCAAAGTAATTAAAAAGGGTTTCTCTCGAAATTATAATCACATTTGTTTTTCATAGTGACAGTTTTTCAGGAACAAACAATATTCGATTTCCTAAAAATGTCTCTAAGTGGGGTTATACCATTCTTACTCTCAGGATCACATAACCGGGAATAGTATATTGAAGTTATTAAACATTTCTTTAAAAAGGCGGCGGTCTTTACAGATTGTCTCTACTTTTCCAACTGAGGGTTACAAGCTCGGTGGTGTCGATAGCCTTGGGATTAGGCAAACAGACTCGTAATCGTGAAACTGCGGGTTTTGGGGTTCGAGCCTCAGCCTCAGCCTCAGCTCATCCGACGTTGTGTCCTTGGGAAAGGCTCTTTACACGAATTTCCCACTTGGCTCCGTCCTTTCGGAGATGGGTGTTTAACTCGGAGGTCCCGCCTCTTAGACAACCAAACAGTGTTGATAAGGGCGTTAAACCTATACCATTTCACCTTTTTTTTTTTTTTTGCTACCAGCTCCCACTTTTCTCCAGTCAGAAGAGCCTTCTGTGCAGGTGGTTGAGACACACTACTGCAAAATCAATTGAAATGGAAATCTCTGCTATTTCTGTCTGTTCCATTTCTGTTTTCTAGCTCTATATATAGTTACCGTTGTGCTGATGTGCTTCTCTTTACCTGAAACCCCTGTAAAATTTTAGGACCTCTTCGAGGTTCAAATTGCAAATCTTTAATCGTCCTAGTTTATAGCCATGAAATTGTCTAACCCATATCCCCCCCTCCCTCAAATACTACACACCTTATTTTTGGCCATGGAATAAGCTACGAACTATAATAAGAATATACCTGTACTTTCCAACGGACCCCCCCCCCCCCTTCCATCTCATCTCCCCCCAACAGACAAACAAACAAACAACAAACAAACAAACAACAAGTAAACAAGCAAAACAAATAAACAAACAAACAAATAAACAAACAAGTTAGCAAAACAAACGAAACACACAAATACACATACAAACATACACACACACACACACACACACACACACACACACACACACACACACACACACACAGTGCGTGCACACACACAGTTGTCCATATTAACCATGTACTTTCGTGCAAGACTGTATTCTCGCTAGTGTCAGCTAAGAAGAGTATTCACAGAGTGCTGTAAATCTCCTGAAACATTTACAGATTTTGTCCTACTGACTTACATATGTATAAAGTTTTGCGCCAAGTGCGTCTTACCCTTCCACAGACTTTCGCTATCTTTTGGACTTGTTCGCCTTTCTCCTTCTTAGTCAATACTCTTTTGTCCTTATGTGCAGTATGCTTACAAACTGTTCGAATATGTGTAAGTTGAATTTTACTTTATTTTGATTTAATCTTCTTACATTAGCCTAACCTTTTCATGACTGAAACGAACACTTCTCAGGTTAAAATTTTGAAAAGTCGACCTTGTGCACAAATAGATGCTTCCCTCGGTTATTTTTGAGTGTTCAGCTATTTTAGGTAAAACTTTATTCAAAGAACCTTTACTAAATGTTTGTGACAAGAAAGAATTTATACCAAAATGTACTCTTTTCTTAGCATATAAGGGGTTCAAAAACGAATTGGGTCAACTGCCAACACTTCTAGAAATGCTAATACTAATGTACACAGACTTATATAGAACTGTTAGGAAAGTCCGTCCTCGGTAAATAACGGCCATAAATGTTTTTTAGCAATGACTTTCCACTCCTCCAAAACTGTACTTTAATGATTTCCCATAACACCAAATGGCGTTCAATAAATTTTCGTCAATTGATCTCGCTGATCGAAATATTCGCTAGTCTCGCAGGGATCCCGATCGGCAAACAAACCGCGTTAAGACCTTATCTATTGGCATCCATTCTCAATACAGGAATCCTTTCAGAACACAGACAGACAAGGACAAGGGGCAGATCGCTCAGCCCACAGAGCAAACAAAAGACCCAACCGCTGTGACTCCCCTCACATGACCTGCCCATGTCGATCCACTTTCATATCCCGGTTACCTTCCAGCGAATAGGAGCAACGTTGGAACCTCCCCCCCCCCCCCCCC